GTATATTAAGGTGGACGATAGACAAGAATCAGTATATTAAGGTGGACGGTAGACAAGAATCAGTATATTAAGGTGGACGATAGACAAGAATGAGTATATTAAGGTGGACGGTAGACAAGAATCTGTATATTAAGGTGGACGTTAGACAAGAATCTGTATATTAAGGTGGACGTTAGACAAGAATGAGTATATTAAGGTGGACGTTAGACAAGAATGAGTATATTAAGGTGGACGTTAGACAAGAATGAGTATATTAAGGTGGACGGTAGACAAGAATCTGTATATTAAGGTGGATTCTTGTCTACGTCGTTGCCCGGGTTTTCGAAAAAAAAAAACAACAACACGTACTCTGTTTCCCTGTTCCATATTTCGATAGGTAAAAATATTTTTTAAATTAAAAAAAAATAACCTTAGGTTTAATTTTTGAAAATAAACTACGAACCTGTTTTAAATCATGGCTTCCTTATGTACTATGTTTTGTTTTTCCTTCACTGGGAAGGATAAATAAGCCCCTATGGAGAATATTTCGGTTATCTTATACAAGTATGAGTACTCGTTCTGGTGAACAGGATAAGCCTAGCTCTATCCCACCCTCATCCCCCGTTATTGCTCCTCAAATATTTAAATTTCAAACGTAAATATGAATGTTCAGTTTGCTGTAATGTAAGTTTGATATATTTTATATGAATGTGATACGGTATTCACATTATGACATTGTTTGAAATATACTACAAACAAAATATAATATTGTACTTTAAAAGAAAAAAAAACCCATTTCCAGGTATCGAACCATCCGGAGAAAAAAGAAAATACATTAAAAGATTCGACTTTAATCTCATTTTACACAATAAGTATTATAATGTAAGCCTTACTCTTTTCATTTGGTCTATTTAATGACAGACGGCATGAATTTTGTTAGGTTAGGTTTACTGTTTACTTTTTCACACACAACATTCTAATTCTGCATACATTTCTTTTGTGTGTGAGGTTAATTATAAGAAGTATTAGTATATGTATAATTTTAATGATCACTAACTAAGTAGGCCTATCTATTCTAATGGTATACGTCAAATGTTAACTCAAACTTACCAAAAAATTTGAAGTCTGCGTAGAATCACAACCATGTAAACCGTGTTAACGATAAACTTACTGGTTCGGCTAGCAGACGATAGACGCATATATCAACGAAAAATTGTCGTTTTGCGCACCTTCACGTGAGGGAAGTGTGACATGCTCACGCGGCGGACAAACAAGGAAGCAAACAAACGGAGATTTTGAGTTTTATATATGATTTGTGTTGAAAAGCACCGGAAGTTGAAGATTAGTCAAATACACTAGCAAGAAAACTCAAACCTCGTGGATTAAACTTCGTATTGTTTACAAGAATAATAAGAGCGAAACGTTTATGTATGGAAACAGTTATCAACTAACTAGCTGTTTACAAGAAGTAGTAAGAGTGAAACGTTTAGGTATGGAAACTGGAAAATTCTTGCCCAATGTTATTTTATAGTAGACCAGCAGTGTTATCCGACCGTTTCGCTCTTACTACTTCTTGTAAACAGCTAGTTAGTTGATAACTGTTTCCATACATAAACGTTTCGCCCTTACTACTTCTTGTAAACAGCTAGTTAGTTGATAACTGTTTCCATACATAAACGTTTCGCCCTTACTACTTCTTGTAAACAGCTAGTTAGTTGATAACTGTTTCCATACATAAACGTTTCGCCCTTACTACTTCTTGTAAACAGCTAGTTAGTTGATAACTGTTTCCAT